AGTCCAAATATTCAAGAAATATTTTAGTTACGATTAGACTACGGGTGTGCACAGTATCTAAAGTGAATTACCTTGTTGGAATAATATTGCTATACGCATAACGAAGTCTAGCATTCAAGCAACAAGGCATGATTTAAGTGGTATGTAGAAAAAGGGGAGCTCAACTCAGATGTGGTTTATCTTTCAGCCAAATAGTATAAGAGGAACATACGTTACATGCGGTAGAAAAAGTAACAACATTACAGAACAAAAATATAACTTGCATTTGGTTTCAAAGTAGTTATGTTTGGAAAAATCCAAATAGATACATTTCATTGAAGCGAAAAAATGAAATAACAAAAGCGTCATATATTTTAAAGACACAGTTACATTACCTTTTTTTTATGCTGGGCAATCCATTTACGGATACCCACCCGGTCGAGGTGGGTAACGGACCGGGTTATGTCGGACTCCGGCGCCTCCAGAGACGAGGAGAGCCTCCATCTCCCCAAATTCCTTGCAGGAGACTACGCCTTGAAAAACGCGCGTGAGGCACTCGCCCCGCAAAACCAACTACCGATTAAATCCATCGAGCTCCACCACACTGGCTACACCAAACCTACGGTACCGCAGTGCGCGCCGAAAGTCCGCCTTCGCCGGTACCCGTCCTGATCATACGGGATTTCATCTCCGGAAAAATCTCGAAGGATGTCGTCTCGGGAGACACATCGTGGGCGGCGCACAAGAGCCACCTTGTAATGCATCACCACCGGACCCACATTTAAGAACCGGGTGCCCCCGCACCCGCTACCCGACAGCCCCTACGTGGGCTGAGCAGCAGCTTCAAGCCCGCGCTGCCACCTAGTAGATACCTAATAGATATAGGTTCACGCATACAGGTATAAATGGATTTAAACTAAATTAAATCACAGGAAATATTTCTTTCAATCTCGATAAACAAGCCAGCCAACAGACAGAAAATACTCCTTAGTTCGTCTCTTCTTCAGAAGATCAGCTGGTACGTGTCATCACTCATCACTGTGAAGGAAGGCCACGTCATAACAGTTCGAAGTATATGTGGGAGAATCTATAACCGATTTGAAAATTACATCGGCATACTGCCGTAGAGAATATGTGCAAGTAAAATTAAGTATATATATTATAGACTATACTACATATTTGCTACCACCGATAATGACTAATGATTTAGAGGGATTAACAAGAAGCCCGAAATATATGGCTCAATCGTGAATTCTATTTAGGTCGTCGTTGATGGCAAAAATGGCCCACCGATATCGCACACTCTCGGATTGTCATACAGCAAATCAAATGCGTTAAGGTGGGACAATAATTCCCTGATCGTGTTAATAAACATGAAGAAATACAAAGGAAAGGGTGCGCTACTCCAAGGCACAACCGCAACACAATTCACAGTTAGACTCTGTGACGAGCGCCCACGAAAGCAAGAATTAAACCACGCAATTACAGATGAAGAGATACTGAGATTTACTTATTATTTACTTATTATTTATAATGGAATTTATTTCTTTTTTCTATAAAGCTTCATATAGAATTCAATTCAGAACATAGCAGATATTATAATATATCTAACCAGGTTGATTCTAGTTTCAAGTCAAGCGCTAAATATAGTAATTATATTGTATGTACAATATAATTGATAATACAATAATATAAGACCGTAGTCTTCGTTTAATATTCTTTTATTGTATAGTTGGGTATACAACATCACGGCCCACCTTGGGTTAAGCGGTTATCGGGACCAATAAGCATAATAATGCGAATTCCGGCCCCCAGACTGCTTTACGGCCGCAACGGGCAGGATGGCGGCACTTCCCTGGGCCGACTTATGATGCAATAGGACACACAACCAGTTTTAGTGGCACGTTCTTTTAGCTTCATTACCCACTGTGGGAATGTCATGGTGTTGGTGTGAAGTGTTTTAAGCAGCCCACACACCACAACGTGAGCTTTGGGAAAGTTCCAAAAATTTAAATACTACCCTACAAAACGGAGCGCTCGATTGCTTCGCCACAATACACTCAGGACAATGAGTGAACTACCATGTGCCTACATGTGTTGTAAAATCAGATACTGATTGAACAAAATGAAGTCCGTAACGTATAAATTTAGACAATCCCTCGTCAGGATTTGCGGTCAATTTCTCGCGAATGTCAGTGGCCATAGCATACCTATAATCAGAACTCGACATGAGAAAGTACACAGTTTTGCGAATTTCAGCAGCAACTACGTTCTGATATCCCACCATCGTGAAATCGTCATTTGTCAACACGAGGTATTCATTTTCTTTCTATACCTAGTTAATGCCTACCCTAGTAATCGAATCATCGTTCCGAATAAATCGGGAGTCTTACACATTAGGCTAAGGACACTTCTTCATAACTACATCCGTCTGTTGAACACTTATTTTTATAGCCTAGTATTATTAGCCGATTTGCGTAGATAGCACGTTGGCTAGTAGGAGGATTAGCCAATTCACTCTTGTAAGGCTTCAACGGATGGTATTTAGCTTTAGCAATTTGTTTAAGAACCTTTGAAATAAGCGCGGCCCTAGTCTAAAGTACACAGTAAAATTTCTTTGGAGGCTTAACCTGAAGAGAAACTTCACTGTCTTCTTTAAATTACGGCCACAATAGGACTTGTCTTATTCATAGCGAAATGCTATTTTGCGACATTAATAAGGAGGTATTTCGGTGGAGAATTTGCGGGCGATAATATCTTGACACTGACCGTAAAATGTGTTCGTGTCCTTCACGAAAAATATTCACCAGACATTGCGCCGTCTATCATCTGTTCCAGTCAATGGCACGTGCTCTGTCGGAGCAGCGGTTTACATCATATGAAGATACCAAAAATTGGATTGATTCGTGGATAGCCTCAAAAGACGAGGAGTTCTTCAGACTTGGAATCCGAACTCTGTTTGAGAGATGGGGAAAAGTAGTTGCTAGTGATGGACAATACTTCGATTAAATTTAAATTACCGTTCTTTCACAATAAATATTATTTGTTCGACAAAAAACGGCGGAAACTTATTTGTACTCCTAATATATCCCAAAAATCAATCGCAAGCAATAATTAATTGGCTTCAAACTTAAATAGGACAACTATAGCAGTTGATTATACTTTCAGCTCCGTAAATTCGTAACTCTGTTTACATATTACCTACTAGTGGTCCCCGGTAGTTAAAATTCGACTATAATTAATTAAAATTATAAGTTTGTACACTATTGATTTACTGGTGGTGAGACCTCTTGTGAGTCCGCGCGGGTAGGTACCACCAACCTGCCTCTTTCTGCCGTGAAGCAGTAATGTGTTTCGGTTTGAAGGGCGGGGTAACCGTTGTAACTATGCTGAGACCTTGGAACTGATATCTCAAGGTGGGTGGAGCATTTACGTCGTAGATGTCTATGGGCTCCAATAACCACTTAGCTCCAATAAACCACACCAGGTGGGCTTTGAGTTCGTCCACCTGTCTAAGCAATAAAAAAAACATATTGTGATTATATTGTCAAAACTACTTCTATAATCACAGATTTCGCCAAGACTACACTTTAGACAAATATTAATAAAGACAAACAATATATTTTAATCTATTCTTAAAATGACCACAGACTTTAAACAATAACAAAAGTTTGAGATTAAACAAACAGTATGGATGCATGAGTGTGTCAAATACATGGTAGTGATGTAATGTTTATTTTTATCGATTTTTTATATTTTTTATGTATTATTAAAAAAAAAATAACATTCTGCACTCCTTCTGTATATTCTCTATAAGTGTGGCAAATTTCATATTCCTCCGTTCGGGCAATTTTCGTAAAAAGGTGTTCAAAATTTTTGCTTCACGTATTAATATATAGAAGTTATACCACCATAACGATGTTAATTCAAGTATTCAGAACATAGTTTAAACGGACTTAACGTAGGTAGGTACCTACTACTATTCGGAAACCCGAACGTCCGAAGTGCGACAAAGTAGGTACCAGTGAGAGATTCGATTTGGTTTTCATCCGCATTGCGACAAAACTTCACGAACAATGCTAATAACATAATCACAAATTATTTAGTCACTCAACCGTCATTGTATTAAAAAAAATCGTTTTCATTTTAAGCAAACATTACAGACATAAAAGTATTTTTTAATTGTCGGTTATTTAACAGGTTTACTTACTCTTCTCGTAAGAAATGTGATAGTGGAAAAAATCAATACACAATTATGATAAAAATAGTGAACACAAAATAAACGAATTCAAATAGGTAATTGTATTTTCAATGATTATTTATCTAAAAATCATGAATTTATTGAGTTTAAATAATGAAACGAGTCGAGTCAGAAATTCTGAAAACCACGCCACCTTTTGAAGTGCTAGTGAACTACACTACGTTCTGATTGAAAACCATGTTTCGCTTTTGCATAGTCCATTCGAAATCTGTTTCTATTCTGAAACTATTCAGTTCGCAATATTGGCGCTAGATGTCGTAAGCTGAACAAAAACATTTTCAATATAAAGAAATTAACGCAAAACAATAAAATGACTCGAGTACGTTTAAAATGCAAAATAAAACATAAATTATCAAAATGTTACTATGTTTTTTAATTCGGTTTTCAATTAGTATTGTTGATGTAGTCCGGTTTTCTGTTTCATTTAATACTTATTTTTGTTTTACTGCACTCATTTTAGCTACTGGGTAATTTTGTTTTGTTTTTCGGGGACATAGCGGCGCGGGACTTTTTGGCGGGAACGCGAGGAGTGAAGCTGTGTGATTTGTTTTATTTTGTCTATTTAGTGTTTCTTCAGGTTTAAATGTGTAATAACGGTGGTTTATTAACTGTTTAATATCTGTGAAAGTGCACAAATGTGGGAAAATGAAACAAAGCCGCTGGACGCAACTTCTCGGGATCCTCCAAAAAGTCCACTGAAAAAAATCTTAGTAAATGACCACCATTTTACTAAGATTATATTTCATCCCAAGGTCCGTTTCCGGCATCCGAACTATCAACACCGTAGTGATAAGCTCCGAGTGAAATTAAGTGAAATAAAATAGCAAACGTAATTTTTGGTTGCTGGTATACGTTGATACAGTGCTGAGACCTCTTGGAAGTGACTAAAAACATACAGTGAAGTGCGATTACTGGAATCCATCGCGGATCTACAACCACAATATCAATTATTGGTTTAGAGGTTAGAAAACACGAAAACAACAAATCGTTCACTCAATGACACTTGTCGTGAATGTCAATTTAACTGAAATATTAAACAGTGTTGCTAATTGAGAAAAATATTTATACCATATTCTACTATTCCGTCTCGTTACACGTAGATAATAAACCATAAGATGGAAGGTCAATTTCAAATATTATTTGAAAAAATGAAAATGGAGATGCAAAGTCAAAATGCTAAATTGAAGGACTCTATAACAAATAGTATTATGGAAAAGATGGATGAGAAACTAATCCCTATTATTGAAGAAAATAAGAACTTGAAAACTAAGTTAGAAAAACTGGAAAAAGAAATAGATTATCTTAAGAGGGCCGAGAAAAACAATAATATTATAGTATTCGGCTTAGAAGAAAACGAAAAATCCTCTTATGAACTAGTACAAAATCTCAAAGAAACCTTCAACCAAGATCTGAATATTAAAATGGAAGAATACGATATCAACAAAGTTTATCGCTTAGGAAAAAGAAAGAGAGAGAGCAACAAACCGAGACCGGTACTGTGTTCGTTTATAAGCAACTGGAAAAAGACTGAAATTATCAAAAGTAAAAAGAACCTAAAAACTATATACATTGCGGAGGACTACTCGAAGGATGTGTTAGAAAAAAGAAAAGAGCTGCAAGCCAAGTTAACTGAAGAGAGACAAAAAGGCAATATAGCATACCTGAAATATGATAAATTGATTGTTAAAGAGAACAACTACAGCCAAGAGAAAAGGAAAAGGGAAATATCCGCTTCACCTTCTTCAGATAATAATCAACCAAAAAAGCAACAAACCGTAAACACAATGAAGACAAACAGGACAAATGCTTTTGATTTAATGCGATATAGATCCAGCTCCCTTTCGAACATGCCTAATACTAATAAAAACCAATAGCAACTAAAGAACGGCAAACGGAAACCAAAACCAACCAAAGAAACTGTCAATAAAGAAACAAAAAAGGAACGAACTCCCCCAAGCCGACTGGTCCTCGAGGGGGAAAGCGACCACAACCCTCCAACATCTAAAGACAACAATCACCGAAAACCAGTAGTTTACATAGCATCCCTTAATGTACTCACCTTGGGAAAAGAAGAAAATCTTACGGAACTGACATATGCGCTAAAATCTATCAAATGGGACATAATTGGTTTGAGCGAAGTGAGAAGAATGGGCGAAAGTATTACTTGTCATCCAGACTATTTACTGTACCAAATAGGGGAGACGCAAGGCCAATATGGGGTAGGATTTATTATTAAACAACATTTAAAACAATATGTGGAAGAATTCATAGGAATCTCAGAACGCATAGCGATTATGAATTTGAATCTACCAGGCTATAAAAAACCGTGGTCTATTGTACAAATATATTCACCTACAGAGCAATCAAATTTGGAAACGATAAATAACTTCTACCATATTTTAAACGAAGCCATTCAAGAGCATACGCACAAAAACCTTATAGTCATGGGCGACTTCAATGGCCAAATTGGAGCAAGACGCCCAGGAGAAAACGCAATACTAGGACAATATTCATATAGTAACAAGACCAGAAGCAGAAATGGGGAAAAAATTACAAACTTCGCGCTGGAAAACAAATTAACAATCTTAAATACTATTTTCAAGAAGAACCGAAAGAGCATGTGGACCTGGATCTCGCCGGATGGTAAAACAAAAAATGAAATTGATTTTATTATGACCAACAGAAACAGCTACTTCACAAACTTTACCGTCATTAAAAGATTTAACTTCAACACCAACCATAGGCTACTTAGAACTGAGCTCAAAATAAAACAACCAAAGAAGACTAGACCAAGACAAGACTCAGGAAACATAAAACTCGAAGAACAACACTTAGAGCAAATAACAACAGCTCTAAGAGCTGAACTTAGAAACTTCAAAGAGAACACTAAGGAACTAGAAACCCAAGATAAATACAAGTATATAGAGAATATTATTAAAACCCAAACTAAACTTATAACAGATAGGAAAATTAATGCAAAAGAAAAACTATCAACAGCCACTATAAAACTCCTAGAAGAAAGAAATTACCTTACTAATGAAAGAAGTACCCAAAACAGAAGACAGAAATTAGCCAAAATCAGCAAAGATATCAAGGAAAGTATCAGAAAGGATAGAAAACAACGAAGGTTGCAAACAATCGAAAATTACATACGAAAAACCGGTGGAACTAAAAAAGCACTCAAAGAATTGACCGGCACGAAGAACTGGATCGTAAAAATGAAAGATAACCGAGGAAAATTCGATTATCACAGAATTGGCATATTAAAAACAGCTACGTCATATTACAAAAATCTTTATCGAAACAACACTACGCAAGCTGAAATCAGTCTAGTGGAAACCTCGAACACCCCCAGTATTCTCCAAGCTGAAGTCAGTAAGGCTATCGATACCCAAAAGAGTGAGAAAGCACCCGGGCCTGACGGCATAAGCAATGAAATCTTAAGAAATAGCAAAGAGATACTGCTACCTGTCCTCACAGATATATTCAATGATATAATGAATACTGAAACCATCCCCCAGCAATGGACCGAGTCTCTCATCATCCTACTGTATAAGAAAGGTGATAAATATGACATAGGAAATTATCGCCCTATAAGTCTTATGTCCAATGTATATAAGATTTTTGCTAAGATCATCTTAAAACGGATTGAAAGAACCCTAGACGAAAACCAACCTATAGAGCAAGCAGGATTCCGCAAAGGTTACTCAGTGATTGACCACATTCACGTAGTGCGTCAAATTTTGGAGAAATACAACGAGTACCAACTTACATACTACATCGCATTCATTGATTATAGTAAAGCATTCGATTCTCTACATCATGACAAAATATGGGAGGCGTTATTAGAACAAGGAATTGAGCACAAGTACATTCGATTAATAAGAAATATATATAGCTGCAGCAGAGCAAGAATCCAACTAGAAAAGAAAAGTACTCCTTTCAGAGTAGAAAAAGGCGTAAGGCAGGGAGACCCTCTATCTCCGAAATTATTCTCCGCAGTATTAGAATCAATCTTTCGAAGACTCAATTGGGAACATCTTGGAATTAATATAGACGGCCAACTGGTATCACACTTAAGATTTGCTGATGACATAGTGTTAATGGCCAAAACAGCAGAAGAGTTAACCAGAATGATAAAAGAACTTGCGAAAGAAAGTGAGAGAGTAGGGCTGGCAATGAATCCGGAAAAAACTAGGGTGATGACAAACGGGTACAAACATACAATAGATCTAGGAAACACTGAAATCAACTATACAGACGAGTACGTATATCTAGGGCAGCTCATAACTCAAAAAGATCCTATGCAGAAGGAAGTGGACAGAAGAATTACAAATGGCTGGAAGACATACTGGAGTCTAAGAGAGGCTATGAAAGATAAAAAGCTCCATATAAACCTAAAAAGCAAACTTTTTAACACCTGCGTACTACCTGTCCTTACATACGGGTGTCAGTCATGGTCCTTAAATCAGGTCACCTCAAACAAACTAGCAACCTGCCAGTATGCAATGGAAAGGAGTATGCTAAACATTAAAAAGTCCGACAGAGTAAAAAAAATCGTCATTAGAATCAAAACAAAAACTACCGATATAATAAGCAAAATCAAAAGACTCAAATGGCGATGGGCTGGTCACCTGGTAAGAGGACACGACAAATGGAGCAAAAGGGTGACATGGTGGTACCCAAGGGAAGGCAAAAGAAAAAGAGGTCGACCACAGAAAAGGTGGGACGATGACGTTAGACAAGTGGCAGGAGTCACATGGAACAGAGTGGCTCAAGAAAGAAAGGAATGGAAAAGGTTGGAGGAGGCCTTTGCCGACTGGCAAACAGATCTAGGAAAGATAACCAAACAACAAATATTAGAAGTTTTAGTTTTTAATGCTAGATTTTACATAAGTTTAAAAAATCATTGTACTAAGAGATCTGAATAAAAGGCTATATTATTATTATTATTTATTATATATTTCATCCCATATCATCTCATTTCATTTAATTTCATCCCAGTTGATAAATGTCTCAAATTAATCATTTTCATTTCATTTCACTCCATATTATCATTTTTCATAAAAATAAGAATATAAATTAAAATAAGACATGACTTAAAGGTCTTAGTTACCAGGTCATAAAATCACTTAAAAAAACATAGCGGTGCACCATACAAAAACAATAATATCCCGTAATTCCACTCCCACAGCTGAGAGAAATCTATCTCATGTTGAAATATATTAAAAGGCTCAAGCTGTGGTGGAGCTTACTAAATAATTAGGTATATGTAGGTATACTATTTAATAATACTACGTTCGTACGACGCAAAATATTCTCCTCTTTCTGCGGAACTGACAGAAAACATTTAATTTCGTAGATACACATTAGTTCCTCGTTGATCGTCTTAAATTTCATTTAACTTTAATTTTAGAATATATCTAGCATAATAATAATATCTCCTTTGATATAATATCTCCTTTTAAATAAGTCACTGGTGGTAGGACCTCTTGTGAGTCACGGGTGGGACGACTATTTCTGCCGTGAAGCAATAATGCGTTTCGGTCTGAAGGGAGGGGCAGCCGTTGTAACTATGCTGAGACCTTAGAGCTCATATCTGAACGTGGGTGGCGGCATTTATTTTGTAGATGTCTATGGGCTCCAGTAAACACTTAAGACCAGGTGGGCTGTGAACGAGTCCATCCATCGTTGGAATAATAATAAAAAATCAGTTCAAATTCGTTTTAGTATTCTTTTTTTTCTATATATTAGTATACATAATTATTTTGTGTGTATGTTAGTAAACTCCTAAATGGCTGTACCTATTTTGATGATTTTTGGTACGTTGTGTTCTTGTGGATTCGAGAATGGTTTAGATTTACAATTCGATCAGTTAAAAAAACTTAAATTAAAATTTTATAATTTAAGCTTGAAATTATCGGATTTGAGACGTACCTACGTACAGGACAATGTTTGTTGCGTTCGCTAGTAGACAATAAATAAAAATGTTTCAATGTATGTACCTACTTAAGTATATGTCGCGTTCAGGTCATTGACATAAACGTTGTGGTCGCTTAAGGAGACTAGTACCCGTATCTTTAGACGTTTCGTCAAATATTCCTCCACTCTTTAACTCATCCGATGCCGCTCGAGCATTCCTCCCAAACTTACTCGAGTTTGGTTTTTTAGTCGACCATTACATTATTCCTCAACTCTACTCGAGTGAGGTAGAGCCGCGGTATTGCATCACCACGACGACATCAGTTTGACGAAAATTTGATCAAGCTAGCATTAAACCCATAGAGTTCTGTAGTCTATGGTCAATGTTTAATGTCAAAGTCAATGGTACGTCGCGACCACTGAAGTAGGAAACCTATGGAAATGAAACGTCAACAAAAAATTCGTGCCACTGTGACGTCAACCGGCCACAAAACATGGCGGTTTTAGTGCTGCCCAGAAGATTTTAATGTTAGTAGGTTTTATCGATAAACGTTCTTGGCTCATTTTATTTTAAATATTGTTGAGTGAATGTATTTGTAGAATTTATACTTTAATAGGAAGTAAGTATATTGTTATGTGCAAAGATGATGTGATTTAGATATTATGTGAAATCTAAGACGAGTTCGTGCTTCAAATTTGCCAAGTAAACGATATGACGATTTTTAAAATTTGCTACACTGATTTTATAAAGTTGTCGTTTGCCGCAAAACATAAAGATATGGCGTAGTACAGTGCCATCTGCCCATTTCTAGCATGCTGAATGTTATCGTATTTTGAGTACGTGTTTTTCTTAGACTATTACAATCTATTTTAATTGTTTTGCTGACTCTAAAGTCCGTAACACACTACCGCAGCGCACCTCAAGGAAGGTACGCCGCACCATTTGAATCACTCTCACTTGAGAGTGATTCAAATTTTAAACTTATCAAGGGACCGCCTGATAAAAAAAAACACCTACAGAACATTTATTCGTTAATAAAATTACAAACGTCATTCCTTGTGACTTCCTCTCTAAAATCACTTAATTATTAAATATTTAACGAGTTGACAATAGTGTTATAAAACTATTTTATTTAAATAGTTCCGACGACTTTCTTGAGATCCTATAAAATATGTTTTAATTATTATTTTTGTATGTTTTAAGCATGATAAAATAAGAAATTTTATATAAGCAATCATATTAAATCGATATCAAAGTCAATAAATAATGCACAACCCAAAACAGACGGCCGAACTGACGTGACAATGACATTTGGCGCGCTAAACATGGCGGATTTT